TTCCCATATGCTGATATAGGTCAAACCATACAAATCAAAATCTTGATAAGGATCAGAATCGTTGAATTCAGCAAAAAAAAAATATATAAATTTGTACTCTTATTAAATGTTTCAGTATAGCCCTCTTTTTTGTTTTTGTTTGTGTAGGATACAAATTGCACCAGTGTGTTTGTGAGTCTTTTGATTGGAAAATTTGTTGTATAATCCCCACACGGCGGTCTGTTTTTGGGATATCAACATTATCGGACAGTTTTGAATTTATGCCTCCAAAACAAACTACGATGCGACTTACATGAAACCAGTTTTATGAGACTGAAGTTGCTTCTCTGTACATTGCTTTTTATGTAACGCAATTTTACGAAACCGGCTTTCATGAAATTCTTTCCTGTGACTCTAGTTTCAGCTTTTAAGTTCGTATTGAAAAATTTTTTTAGACTGTAGTTAATGGATAAGTGAAGGTAAAGAGGCCTTGATATTCCGTAAATATTTTTGAAATTGATAGATACTTCGCAGATATCACCACAAACGCATATCCGTCGTCATGAGATTTTTTTACAAATATCACGCAGCGGCATTACGAAGGAGAGCTCTGAGGAGCTAGATCGTTGACGGCTCGCCGGTGCGTAGGGGCTCCTAGAGTCCCTTAGATTAGAGTCACTGATCTGTCGGTACAGCCCTCCTCTGAACACCATGGAGCTTGGATACTGTAGTCGGGGCGGCAGCACCTGAAACATGTGAGCAATACTGGAGGGTAGGTCTTATCTGGGCCTTGTACAGAGTGAGGAGGTCATGTGGAGAAAAGTACTTTTTGGCCCTAAACAAATGGTTCTCGGTGATCTGGACTGTGACCAAACGAACGAATGGCTCTTTGGCAAGAACTCGTCCATACATCGAAACCGGATGAGCACTAGGATGTTTTTTGTGCGTCAAGGTACAGTACTGCATACTGCTCCCTGGGGAACACCCGCGTTCACTTTTTTGAATGAAGAGGAGAACCCGTTAGTTACGGTAGATATCTTGCGGTCAGAGAAAGTCAGTCACCCATCTGGAAAGCTTCTCTTGGAGACCATATGGTGGAAGTTTGCATAGGAAGCCAGCATTCTACGCCTCATCGAATGATTTCGTTATATCAAGAGCACCGACATAAGACTGGATGAGTTTACTTCACAATAGCTTGACGTAAGCTAGGAGGTCCCCTGTGGATCGCTCATGCCGTAAACCATACTTCCTGTCGCTAACCAAGCTGTAACGTCCGAGGTACTCCAGAGGCTCCCGATTTATTGAACCTCTCCATCACCTTATTTATAACAGAGAGTAGAGATAGGCCTATAGTTGTAAGTCGGACTTACATCTTTTTTTGGGATGGGTTGTACATGAGCAAATTTCCAGTTTTCTGGGCAGCTGCCAGATGCGTAACATATGTGGAGGAGACGCGAAAGAACTGGAGCAAGCTCCGCTGCACACCTCTCCAATACAAGGGCAGGAATCAAGCCCCGCACGGGTATTATGTAAAAAAACCTATAAAACGTCAAAAAAACCCATCAAATTTCATTTTGCAGAATAGGTAGTTTTTAGGGTGCAAGCAGTCATTCCACGTTTGCTCACTAGGATCGTAATGAGCGTCCATCTATGGAGGAATGGCTGAACTACACGCATTGTTGGTTGCATATGTTTTGTGAAGCCGAGTAGTCTGCATATCTATTAGCTGTGCCCTATGGGTTATTCATATGTTGTCCTTTCTGAAGACAGGTTATGTTCCTTTGAACTTATAACTTTTTCTATGTATGTGTGTAGTTACTGTTAGGATGTATGTATATGATTATATCTTATCTCTCTCATTTTTTAAATCCAGCAAGTTTGCATAAGTAATTTTCCGAATGAATAAGAAAAAGTGGATGCGCAACTAATTTCTAGCTTTGAATCTCAAGTAAGGTATATTTGAGAGAAGAATCCAATGGAATTTATCATCAACACATATTATTAGCAGCAGCGGTGGTCGCAGTGGTAGACTCTTCGGTCTCCTGATAAGTCGCCGTGCGCTGTGCGAGTTCGAATCCCGTCCCAGGAGAATTTTTTCTCTTGGCTATGGATGTTGTGATTGTCCTTAGGTGGTAGACGATCTCTGACTGTCGAAGGCGGAGAAACCACCCGGCGGATCTCGTAGGCGGGGCCAGAATGTGTGCATGTTGCATGCACACGTGTTTCCTCGCCAGAGTCCGTGTGGCGTTCCCCCTTTCCCCTGTATCCCCCTATAGCACCTCGGTACCCCATGGGTCTTTAGGCCTTAGGCCTTCGTGGTTGTTGGAGTATAAAAAAATCCAGCAAGTTTGCATATCTAATTTTCAGAGTGAATAAGAAAAAGTGGATGCGCAACTAATTTCTAGCTTTGAATCTCAAGTAAGGTGTATTTGAGATAAGAATTAAATGGAATTTATCATCAACATATATTATTAGCACACAAATCCTCACTATGCACCTATTCATTGCCGTTTCCTTCTAGCTATATGTAATGTCCTATTTCAACCCGGACAGTACTGAGCGAGAAAATCGATCGCTAAGACATTTTATATCAAATGTCATAATGTCACAAAACACCAATATAATGTCAACAAAAATCGACATGTCACTTTTCAAGATACGTAATACCCGTGGCGGTGATCTTACTGGGTTTCGTGAAGGAGACTCTCCTCCGCCGTTAGCTCAAACCGCCGGTTTTTAACCGCGTAGGGCCAACTAGCGTTCCACTAGTCACTTCCGAAACCTTGATGTCTAACTTATGTGGGAGTCTGGGATACCTAGCTCAATCGGGAAGATCCTGATCTCATCTGCCTTCGCAATTACATCACAGTAAGGCCTTCCTCAGTAAGCCGTTGTCTCTAACTGAGGGTTAGGACTAGCCAACGTTCCTCTGGTCACTTCCGAAAACTCGGGGCCTAACTTGCGAGGGAGGAGGTCGTACTCAGAGAAATTGAAAATAGTGGTAGCTGCGGTCCGGTATGTCGAATCAGCAGTCGGATGCATGCGACATAACGCCGTGCCTAAGTTTTACATCGTGCTGGTCTCTGGCATTGCGGACCACTTCGTTGTATATGTTTCTGGACTCGACGTGGGCTTGTCTGTTCTCTACATTGGGGTTTTGTAAGCAGGTTCTGTCAACCTTGATCTTGTGCTGACATGCAGTGTCGCACGATTTGTTGAACCACTCATTGGACCCTGGTTTAGGCACTTCCACTGTATGAGGGATGATGAAAAGGGATGTACTCCTCCATCCCAACAATCTCGGTTATTGATGAACAGACAGCCGGCGCATCCGCATCAGCGAAGCAAACATCTTTCCAGGGAAAGCTGGAGAAAAAGTGTCTGAGCCACTCCCAATCGGGGGTTCGTAATGCCAAATCTTGCGGCCTGGGCGGGTTTCTGCTGCCACAGCCGGTCCTTACCAGAACCTAACCTCCACAACACCGTGGTCTGACTTAACAGGCGAGACAGGCCAGCAGTGCTGTAAGGGATAGGATGCGTGGTCAGAAAGAGATCCAGCAGGCTATTGGCGTGCGACGAAATTCGGGGGAAAAAGTAGGGCATTGAAATCACCGAGCAGAACTATCTTTGAAGCAGGGTGATTGATGGTCAGGAAGTCGATCCTGACAAATAAATTTGGGGGATGTATTGGAGAAGCCACAGAATGTCATTTCGGTAGTTCAAAAGAAAGATCTCTGGAGCCGGAAAGACAGCTACGGCCAAAAGTCACAACTGCTCCGATTGGAATTCAAGATGATCAATCAGTGCAGAAACTTAAGAGTTTGGTCTCCTCCAAGAAAAGCATTGCGGGACGATTAAACTTCAGGTAGTGGTGAATAGCATCGATATTGCTGTTAATTCTGCAGATCTTTGTGAAACAAATTTTATCATCGATGTTGTGTCCTCCAGTTCATCCTCCATCTGCAGCCGCGTAACTTGAGTGTGAAAACATGCGGACATTCTTAAAACACCCTGGAAAAAGCTAGATGGTGGTACCGCCTCGGACGACTGGTTCTTGTTTACCACCTTCTTTTTGCTTGTTAATGATGTTAAATACTTCCAAATTGGCCCGTTGGCGGACTCCGCGAATCGGTACTGAGGTAGAAATCATCACTGTAAATTTTACTGACGATGGAAGAATGTTTTTATAAGCGGATGTTCAAATGCAACTAGCTCATTGAGATGCATTTTTTGAAAACGATTCCATTACAGAAGCTTTTCCAATATATTTGTCGTGGCCATATCGTAGAATTGACCATTTCATGAAATCATCGAGCGTATTTATTTAATAAAAAAACAGAATATGTTACGAACTCGATTATTGTTGGTGCTACAACAACTTCCATTAAAACTAGTAACTTTAGAAAAATAAAATAATTACATTAAAACATTCTTAAATCACAGATGTCACAAATTGAGTTATTACCTTGCGTGGTTAGCCTACTCATATTAGACGTATAACCTAAAGATGAAAATAAATTTGCGATTAGTTTCAGACTCCACGGATTTTTGACGTTTTTACGTGACTCGCAAGTTTTCGAGAACTAGAGTACCTTTTTGTTCTAAAGTCTTTTATCTTTCTTCGAATTACTAGAATGTTCACTTCGAAAAACAACCTAGTTGAAACGTAAATAAAGCGCTCCAAGAAGTAGACGCGTGATCTGGCCCTTTAGATAATGAAACATTTCAATGAATGCCACCATTTCATGAAATGCTTGAATAATTTTACGATACGGTCTCGACATATACATGATTTTATGACTTAAATAGTCGTGTTGTGGCCAACCTAAGGCATAATGTGTTAACACCCGATTTCTCGATTATGCATAGAAAGATGAATGACCTATAAGCCGATAACTTCGATATATCGGCCTTTGAAATATCGGTTATTGGTAGGGGCAAAAATCCTGTATCTATAGATGTTCAGTTGCTAGTCGTGTTTTCTTACAGTGCTTTCTTTATCTGCCATTGACCATCTTAGTATGAAGGTCGCAGTTAACCTGTTTTGCTTTCAACTACTACAAATCCTATGTCTTATTTTGCCTAGACCTGCTACCTCGACGACATCGCAACCCCAGCCTCAGTCGCAGGACGTGTCTACGGCCACGGTGACTGGAGGTGGACCCGTAGACCTGGAGAGTGGTAAACAGCAGACTCGGTGGAACCTAGGACAGTTCATCCAGAGGGGAGGAGATGCCATATCCTCCACGCCTTCACCCTTGGATGGGGGAAAGATGCAAACTTCCTCTGTGAGAACGAGTCCTGACAGTTTGAACAAAAGGTGCATGGATGATGATGACGATGATGGAGGGGAAACGAGTGACTCTGTCAATCTCGATAAGTGAGTGCAATTTAATATAATCGCTTTGCAAGCAAAATGATGTGAACATGTAAAAGCACTGTCTGCAACAATAGTTGATAACTTGAGAGATGTGACGAAAATGTGAGTACTGAGGGATTTTTTTAGCACCTAGGGGGTCGAATTTTGTTTGAGAAATGGAAAGAATGTTGCATGAATAGTTATTACAAAGTTAACCCCATGTTAGCAAATGGAAATTCAGAATTATGCGGGAATATTATCGTAAAAGCCACATTAATTTGAATGTTTCAAGATGGTGGGCGAGCTTCATTTTGAAGATCCCATTGAGTACTTTACAACACAGGGATACAAAGCTATATCTCTTTCTCAATTAAAATTGGAAACTGGGGGCTGTCAACGTAGGAGAATTTTTGAACATTGACTCGCTTTTGACCCAACAACTTAGCATCGAAACGTTATAGAATGTGATGATAGAATCATATTTTGACAGGGTTAATCCTAATATGAAATACAGTAATTCTGTTTGAATAAAATCAAGGTACTTTGACAAGGCCCAGTTGTTACCTTAATATTTTTATGGCCACTTTATACATTCTAGCAGCAATTTCGTCGTTTCTAATTCCATGTTGCTGACTTGGTCCTTTGACAAAATAAATAGGAGAATCACTAAGGAAAATTGCTTAAATCGATCGTTTATCTCATATTTTTGATCTGAAGGAATGGTTTACCATATACTCTTCTTCTTCTTGTCAAACTTCAACGATAGAGGATAAATACCATGTTCCTCATGTTTGGCGAAGTAAGTTCACATTCGCGCCACAGGGCGTCATAAATTATTGCTTTACAGGGTAATAGGAATCCGTAATACAACTATTATAGGTCTTTTCGCCGTTTTTGGAGGGTTGTCGTAAAACTGCAGGAATTACAATTATACATCATTCTCACTCACACAGAAATGTGCAATGGGCTCTATGTGCGGACATTTGTTTGTGTAAGCTCACAGTCATTCGCTTATTACTTTAGTATCACCGCAATGCCTTCCATATTTATTATTCTTGTCACTGTCACTAGGAAAAGTGGTTTGTCCTTTGCGTACTATTGTTAACAAAATGTTTAACCAAAATCAATTGAATTTAATTAATACCTAATATTTTTTGTCATCAAAACATCTGCTGATTGATATAAAATATGTGCAGTGGGTTTAATTACACCCACTATAAACATGTATATTTCTCTTGAAAGCAGTGACACTCTTTCTAAAAATAGTTTTCTTATTTTTTAGAGCTGTCGAAGAAGCCAAAGCGCTGGTGGCCCTAAGTGAACTCCCTTTACTATCAAGTCTATCTGACTCCGGGTCGGACACTTCAGCCAACCGTTGCATCGCTCCCTCCGCACAACTACCTACACGTACCGTCGATTCGGGCAGTGACAGCGAAGCGCTTAAGGAACGCCCTAAGAGGGTGGTTCCAGCGCCGAGAGCCACTTCGAAACCCACTTGTAGGCGGAGCGAAAGCGAAGAGGAGACGGTGCTTAAGACGAGCGTACCGCCTGGTGTCGGACGTGTTCCCAAAGAGAAAGACGGGAAAGGGAAGAGAGGCAGACCGAGGAAAAACAAAGGGGATGGTACGGAGAGTGGAAAGGGTAGACGGGGAAGGCCTAAAGGTGGGAATAAGAGAAGGGAGCGAAGCGAATCATCAGACACAGAGGTGGGTACCACGATATTATTGGTCGGGTCCAATTAGAGCAGGAGATCTCAACCAGGGGGGCGCGCCTCCCAAGGGGGGCATAGAGAGATGTCAAGGGGGGCGGAAAGTGTTTGCATTTTAGAAAAAAAAAACAAAAAAAATAAAAACATTAACAAATAACATTACGATGTAATGTTTAATTTACACGCATAAAATTAGAAATTAAATATCTTATTCACTTATTCTGTCAACCGCTGTTTCAAAACCCGGCGTCGTCAATCGCAGTTTATACAAGTTTCGACAAGCCACAACATGAAATCCGCGCGCACCCCCGCCGCGCTCCGCTAAACATGCATCACTTGGAAAACAATTGTGTACCTACCAGACGCGGATGAGCATCTGTGACATTCATTCATACAAACTTGCGAAAAATTTGACGATTCGATGTACATGTTTTGTATTTATTATATTCAGGGGTTCATGTCAAAGCTTCAACTTTAGAATCAAAAAGTGTCTTTTGAAAATGTTATAACTTTTTCTCGGCTGTTCGAAGCAATTAAAACTAACGTACTGAACGCAAATTTAAAAGCTGACATAAAAACTCATTTGCAAGCGCTGGAAGACGACTTTCGTCGATACTATCGAGACATCAATTCAGAGTCACCAATATGACACATGATAAGAAATCCATTTGTTGTCGATTACCAGAAGAAGTTCATGAAGAATTTCTAGAAATGAAGGCTGGTTCGTCCATAAAAGATGACTTCCATCTTTTAACATTGGAGAAAGTTTGGATCGAAAGCCTGTTAATTCGACACTTGCCTCTCTTGTGAGACAGGCTTTTCTGCTCTAGTTTTAATTAGACTAAACAGCTAAATCGTCTTTATATCGATAGCCACCTGATGATAGCTCTGGCAAAAATAGAACCTAGAATCAACCAACTGGTACAGAACATGCAATCTCAAGTGTCTCATTAGTACCTGCTCTTATTTTATTGCAAGTTTTTTGATAAAAAACATTTATTAGTTTATTTAAACTTTCAAAGTTTTTTTATTAGAATTAAAATAAAAGTCTTTGTACCTATATAATCTGCGTTTTTTTGTATTTATTGAAAAAGCAAAGCGGGACATGAAAATATAATGTATAGTCCGGGGAGCCTCAACAAAAAAAAATGTTGGGAAACCCTGAATTAGAGCATATTCACGTGATATTGTTTGTGAATGCTGTGGACGAGCATCTGACAAATCTGAATGCGCTGGGAATGTCATGTTATCGCAACCCATGATTGAGTAGGCGTCAAGTCTATATGCTTTCAAGGCAATTTAGTGCATACTTTTGACTAGGTTCACATACCAATGTATACCAGTAAAGAACCATTACATTGGTATACATTCTTAAATTATGAAAAGATATGTAATTAGATATTGATACAATTTTAGGTACTGTGTGTACTCTCGTACAACAGAGTAGACAGTATTGTGATATCACTTATTGTTGAAATAGGGATAAGTCAAATAAATCGAAGAAACAAGAGTAAATATTTATTAGTGGTTTAGCAAATAAATAATTCTTGCCTAACTTTTAATCATGAAATTTTCAAATATGAAAAGAAGTAGTAGAACACCTTGCCTGAATTCCGTTCGTTTTTTCTAAATGTTCAGTGTAATGTGAACTGATCGTTGGTTAGAGCAAATTCCTCGTTGCACATTATATGGCAATTACTGATATTATATATGGTGGCCTAACGAACTGGTCACTCTCCTATTTGTCGCACCCCTGGTATATTTTGGGAAAAGCACTCGGCCACGTCAGTTTTGAGTTCTAGGGGGACGTCTTTTCATCTATGGCCGTACAAACAGGGTGATCAAAAAATAAGGTATTGCGTTGCACTTTAAATTTTTAAATCCGAACCCCCATTTTTTTAATTTTTAGTAACTTTTGTATAATACGTTTTATACCTTTATAGTAAAATTCGACTAACTTAATACTGATAATAATGGAATGCACGGCATAAAAGAATAATCATGGATATCAGCAAGAACATTTAGGATCAGTCAGTGTCATCGTATGCCATAGAAAAAAATTGTCTTTCATTTCAGATTGTTAAGTTACCTATCTAGTTGTGATAAATATTGAACAATACTTATTCAATTCAAGAAAGGATAGAAATAACAAAACTGTGTTATCAAGAGCTACTGCTCGGTTGTTTAATGTGTTGCATTTAGACAAAAATATTAATGATAAGTATGTGGCTAAGTTGATACGAAAATTTGAAGAAACCGGATCTGTGTCTAATATTCGCAGTAATCGCCATCGAGAAAATCGGCCAGTTAGAAATAGCAGTTTTGGGACACGTAGCACTTGACAACGCCCAAAGCACTCGTGGACTGGCTACTTCTTCACGATTTACATGCTCAACAGTAGAAAGAATTGTTTTGTTTTTAATTTTAAAGTTAAGTGTTGTTACCATTGGAACTATATTGATTATTATTTTTACGATATAATCCCTTATTATCATAATTCCTAGAATGTTATTATAAACTCAAATAGGTTCACAACGATTGAAGATAGGTATAAATATACAAAAGTTTCTAAAAACTCCATGGAGAATATAAAAATTAAAAAAGGGGTTTCCATTTAAAAATCTTAAGTGTAACGCAATAGCTTATTTTTGGATCACCCTTTATTGTACGGCTATAGATGAAAAGATGTCCCCCTAGAAATCAAAATAGACGTATCCGAGCGTTTCTTCCAAAATATACCAGGAGAGTCACAAGTGGTTGAGCGACCTTTTCGTTGGACCACCGTGTATCATTGTCGCTATATCGGTCCAATACTAAGATTCAAAAGAGATTTAGCTAATTCGGTATAATAGAACTGAGGCTCCTTAACAGAATCTCGTGGCGCTAAAATGAGATCTACACCGTGAAAGTAAATACCTTTCTTAAACTCTTTTGGATTCAAAATGAATAAGATAAGAGTCAACAGTTAAAATTCGAGTTGGCCCTTGTCTGTATTCATGATACATTCTAGATTATCTCGAACGTTTTGCATTTTTCAATGTCACGTTGAGTATGAAATTTTCTTAGCATACCCTAGATTGAGATTCATCATTAAAAACAACTCGAATTAAAATAATCAAAGAGCTATCTCACAACGTTGAGGTGCTTATCCTTTAGCGACGCTATTGATACTCAGCTTAAACTGCTTTTTGCAATCCACAAAATATTATAGTTGTATGGAAATTTACTAAAATTTATGTTTTCGTAGAAAAATGCAAATTCAGTGTGAACAACTGTCCTAGTTCGTTAATAGCAATAAATGTATTTATGTATGAATTTTCTCAGCGCAGATAATGCGATCTTGTTCAAAAGGGTATTTTTATTCTCAGTTGCACCGCAATAAGGCGAAACGAGGCCGCCCACCCAAACAGCCCGTCCCAATTCCAGCACCAACTCATGCCACAATGGTAGCGCTCCAGCATAGGACGTCGGACTCCGAGTCCAGCCATGCAGCAGCATCAGCAACAGGAGTGTTCGACAAAGCAGTACCGTCCACTTCAAGGCGGCGTGCCTCGCAACGGGCGAGCATTTCCATGGCCGCCGCCGATCTGTCGTCTAGCGATGAGGAGGAGCAGAACTTGGCTAGGCGGAGAAGGAGGCAGAGGAGTAGCGGTACGGTGCAGAGCAGTGAAAGGGCGGAGTCGCCTAAGAAGCCTGCGCACAGGTATGAAAGTCATCTAAAAAGCGAAACATGTCATATCTAACACTTTTGATATGCCTGAAGATGACTAGGGGAAATTTTCAAAAATCAAGTTGCTAGTTGGGGTTAACCACGTCTTGTAAAAATCGCCAGATTGTAACAGTTCACACAAAAAATGCCAATTCTCAATATTCGGGGCTACTAAGCCCAATAATTATTTTAGTCCCAAAAAATATGGTATCAAATAGATTGACTCTACACTCCCGCGCAATGCTATTATCAGTTCATAAAATATTAGTATGGCACAAGTTAGCCCATTTCAGACAAAAGTTATCTACGAGCATGTATAACAGATGAGATCAAGTCAGTCAGACAGTCTCCAATCCCCACTCATGTAACAAGCAACGGTAACATTGCGATCCGAATTACGGTGAGTAACACGCCACCGCAGTAGTAGCGCCTACCTCCCTACATATGTATGTTTCTCCTATTTTCGTTTCGCTCGACTCTGGTATCAAACATGTATCTCTAGATAGGCATAAAAAATTTATTTTTAGGCAAAAATCTCTGAAGAATGATGAGAGTCGAATGAAAGGCCATCTCAAGGATACTGATTCAGATTCAGATGCAGAATGGGGAGTCGAAAATAGACCGAAACATAGGAGAAAAGGCAGGCCGCCTGGCTGTACGAAAAAGCCAGCTGCCACATTCGGTGCTCTGCAGCCCAAGAGTGCTGAATATGTTCCTTCTTCTGTGGATTCTAGTAGTGATAGTGAACGAGGTAAACACGAATAACACTACTCAATAACTAATTACTATAATTTTCTAAAGGAACGTTTCCATTATAACAATTTTTTTTCCAACATGTGCCGGCACATTAACGAAAAAAGAAGCCTTATAGGGAATGGGTTGCGAGATTTTCTTTTAGTTCAGTATATTGTACTTGTTGATACAAAAATGACCGTGGTCCCAAAGTTTTTCCACGAGTAGTTCTCGAAATACAGGCTGTCGAAGTTGGGTAGTCTGTACCCTATTCTAGCTTATTGTGCGTTCGGCACTCGGTATGTAATAGTTTTTATTTATTTTAGTTCTTATTGTTATTCCTTTTAACTGGTTCACCAACATTGTAATTCTAACATATGTAGAGAGTGACAAAAAGTTGCATAGATGGAATGTTCCGCAATACTTTTCAAAATAGTTTGTGTCCCTGTCGATTCATGCGTGTTTGGTGACAATTCCAATGTCAACAACACTTGTTTGCTATATTAACTACTACACTTGCTCTTTTTATTCGCTCCAACACAGACACGAAATATTGGTAAAGACCACACATAAAAATATCAACCAAGGATCACCGGGAAGATTAACGAAATATATATCGCCACACCTGTTTGCAGCTGCAGATCCCACACGGAAGAGATTGCACAAAATTAATTCTCCAAATACTTTTTTGACTTCTAATGTCAAAAATTAGGTCAAGCTAAAAAAAGGTTTTTAGGAGATTCCTGAATTTTTAGTTTGAATATGGAGGAAAACTCTAAAAAGGATGGAGCTAGTGAGGAAGTGGAGAGTGTGGTCTCACTGAGTGAAAAGGGATTTTGTACAGAGGAAGTTTTGAAACTAAAAGATTATACCATTTCGATTCAAGAGAAATTAATAAAAGAATTGTACGAAAAGATAGACCAATTAAACAAAAAAATTGGGAAAATGCAACAGCCGTCACAAGAAGCAATTACAACTTACGCTAATATGGTTAAAGCTTCAGGGCCTTCAACCGTTAATTCACCTACAAAAATGATAGAATATAAGCAGCAATGCATACCATTACAAACATGTACAACAAAAAAACAATCACCAGTATTAAAACCCACAAATACAGTCATTGTTAAGCCTAATAACCAACAAGAGTGTAATAACACAAAGAAAAATATCGCAAAATTTGTGAATCCTACCAGTTTGAAAATTGCTATTGAAAAAGTTTATGAATTGAAAGATGGTGGGGTGAAGATCCAATGTAAAACAAAAGATGATAACGCGAAGCTACATAATGAAATAAAATCAAAAATGCCAGAAACATATACAGTGAAAACTTCAGAGATAAGTAAAAAACCACAAATCAAAGTTATTGGATTTTGTCAAGAATATGCAGAAGACGAGCTAATAAATACTATAAAATCACAAAATGAATCTTTTCAAGAAAATTCACATATGAGAGTAATTACAGTCAAGAAAATAAAAACTAAATATCAAGCAATTTTAGAAGTGGATGCTGTGACTTTTAACACGTTCGCTGCGATCTGCCTCGCGCCGCGCTCACGGTAGCGGCTAAGCCTATTGGATGTGCGTTGTGTAATTGAAAACTATTTCATATATACATTTTCTTCTTCTATCTCGTTTTTTTTCGTGCAGTAACACGGAACATGTCTTGAAACACTATTAAAGATTTTTCTTTAATTAATTGCAGACCAGACTATAAAATACAAAAACAAATATTCTATAAAACAAGTTTATTAAGGAAAAGAACAAAATAATGATATTCAAATAGAAGCTTAGAATAATAACAAAATAATGTGTGGGCTGGAAAAATCATCACTCGTTTCAGACATATTTCCATCAGACTGCTCACTTCCATCTGAACTGGGAACATAATTGTCTGAGTCACTTAGATTCTCGATTTCGCTCCCCGAATTTGCAAGAATATCATACAGTTCTTTTTCTGTAAGCCCTTTATTACGGTTACAATACGTTTTCACTCGTTTTGGACGTGAACAACCTGCTTCCACATCATCCGCCATTGCGCAATGTAAAAATAAACGAAACTTGATCCCACGCGTAAAATAGTCCAAAAAGATGTTCAATATGTAGGTAACCATACATAAAGCGAGTGCGGTACAAACTGACAACACCACAGTCTTGTGAGTTTATATCAGCCAGAAGCGCGGATCCGCGCGCGCCGCCTTTCGTTAAACATCGGTCGGACGCGGATCAGCGTCGTTCGCAGTGAACGTGTTAAGTGTGTTATGAATCAGGGTGTTATTTTTATCGACATGTCTGTTTGCTCTGTTTTCGAGTACATCAATGTTTTGCGATGCTATAAATGTACCGGATTTAACCACACAGCTAAATACTGCACAAAATCAGGAAGATGTCTTACTTGTGGATTAGAAGGACATTCAACAGAAAACTGTAGTACCAGTGAAATGTACAAATGCTGTCCAAATTGTAAAAGTGCAAACCAGGATTTTAATCTAGGATTACCTATTAATCATGGACCATTTGACAAAAATTGTGAAGTATATAAAAGGAAAATTGAACGTGAGAGGGAAAAAATTAATTATGCAAATGAATAGCAACTACTAAGCTCAGATTTGCAAGACGTGGCTAAATCTGTAAGTGATGAATATAACTCAATATACCATTTAAACATACAAGGAGTCCTGAATGATATAGATGAAGTTCAACAGTTTTTAAGATGGAGAAAACCACTTGTATTATGTCTTACCGAAACACATGCTACAGAAGACATCACTGATGGTGAATTACAAATTACTAATTATAAAACCTACAGATGCAACTCCAACTCCAGACATACTGGAGGTGTAGTGATTTATGTTTACCACAAAATGCAGATCACATTATTCGATTGTACCACTTTAGACTATGCATACTGGTATGCACATATACAGTTCAAATTATTTGGGAAACGTTATGATCTTTGTACTTTTTACCGTTCACCAAACATTGATGCAGATACATTTTTAACGTTTTTTGAAGAAAAATGCGAAGAAATGTGGAATTTTAGAAACAATATAATACTTTTAGGTGATTTTAATTTAAATTATTATGGTAAAAGCATGAAAACAAGAAAATTGAAAGAAACCATAAACAACTATGGGTTCAAGCAAGAAATTGAAGAGAGTACCAGAATGACATCATTATCAGAGACTTTGTTAGATCTTGTTATTGTAAATTTCGAATGTGCGGGGATTAAAGCTGTACACACACCTAAAGTTAGCGAACACAGTTGGACAATGCTGCCCTTGGTAGGGCATTTTTCTGATACAAAAATTAAGAAAATCGTAAATACTATTAAGTACGAAAAACTTGAACGAGAACTTGCTGGCTGCTATTGGAATTTTGGTGAGAATATGGAAAAAATATATGACAACATAATAGGAAATATAAAAACTTGTTTAGATCTTGCAACTGATAAAAAAGTGATTTGCTCGGCAAAAAATACACCCTGGTATAACAAGAATATTAAGGCAGCTCAAAATTTGAGAGGCAAACAATACAATAAATGTATATTCACAAAATCAAATGATGATTGGGAGGTATATAAAACTCTTAGGAATAAATGTGTATATGTAATTAGAGAAGAAAAAAAAAATTCTACGATAAACAAATCGATAATAACAAGTGCGACAGTGTAAAGATGTGGAAGACTTTAAAAAGACTGATCAATTCGAAGCCGCATGATTGTGTAAATCAAGTTCAATTCGAAAACGGTACCGAAACAAATTCTTTGGTGATTGCAAACAAACTAAATGAATATTTTGTGGAAAGTATTGTTGATATTGTAGGTACTGCCAATGCTGCACCTGACTATATGAAAATCAGTTTCCAGGGGGAAATGTTGCATACACTTTCAAAATTTCACAGCGTATCATTGAATTATCTAAGAAAAAAAGTAAACAGTTTAAAATCAAATAACAACTGTGCCGAAATGACTACTAAAAACGTGCTGAAAAACTGTTTCGAAATTTTGGGATATCCTGTATTAAATTGGATCAATTGTTCACTGAGAAGCAGTTCTTTCCCTGAAAATTTGAAATGCTCTACAATAACACCAGTTCACAAAATAAAAAATTCTAAAAGATGCAGCGATATGAGACCAGTAAATGTGTTACCAGACATTGAAAAATTATTAGAGTCCATAGTGCATGACCAATTAATGCAGTTTATAGAAGAAAACAAAATTTTAGTGGAGGCGCAAGCAGGCTTTCGAAAAAAATATTCCACAGAAACAGCTTTCCAGTTGGTAACTGAGAATTGGAGAAGAGCCATAGACTCAGAAGAAGTTGTCATAGCAGTATTTTTGGATTTGAAGAGGGCATTTGAAACGATTGATAGAGATATTTTGTTAGGTAAATTGAAGGCATATGGTATAACAGGAAGTGTTTTAGATTGGTTTAGAAATTATTTGTCTAAAAGGATGCAAGTTACAAAAGTTAATGACACTATTTCATCAAAAATTGAAAATACGTTGGGTGTTCCACAGGGCAGTATCCTGGGACCACTTCTTTTTATTTTATACATAAATGATTTACCTGCCATAGTCAAAAAATGCAAAATTCAAATTTTCGCCGATGACACTATGATTTATATAAGTACTAAAAATATTCAGTCTGGTATCTCTTATATAAATGAAGACTTGCAGCTTGTCTCAAAATGGTTAGCATCTAACAGACTAAAATTAAATGCAAGTAAAACGAAAGCCTTGTTAATCGGAAAAAAACAATGTACAAATGTTCAACTGAATATTGATGGTGAAGATATTGAATTCGTAGAAAATTTTAAATACCTGGGAGTTTTTGTTGACTCTCGATTAATTTTTGATATTCATTATGAAAAAGTTATAAATAAGATTAGTAGTAAAGTGGGATATTTATCGAAAGTTTCTGGATGTCTGAGTTCATATAGCAGAAAAATGATCTATAATAACATCATTCTTCCAAATTTCTTGTACTGTTCGACTATTCTATATTTAGCAAATAATTCCATTTTTGAAAGACTGCAAATTTTACAAAATAAGTGCATGAGAATAATACTAAATAAAGATAAATATACTCCAATTAGGCAAATGCTTAGCAAATTAAAATGGCTCAATGTAAAAAATTTTATCAAATATCTTGTAATGATATTCATTTATAAAGTAAAAAATAATATATTTCCATCAAGTCTAACTAATTTAACATCATCAAATGTCGACCATCATTTACATAATACCAGAAATAAAGATGACTTCCATTTAATGAACAAAAAGTATAACATATGCTACAAATCTGTATTCCATCAAGGGTTGATTGAATATAATAAATTATACTCGGAGATAAAAGACCAGAAAACTTTGACAAAATTTAAAGTAAAATTGAGAAATCACTTGTTAAATCTACAATTATAGGTTGCCCAGCATTTACATCATACACCATATGGCTTGAATTTACTAGTTCTAAGTAATTTACAATTGTTCTGTTTATGTAGCCAGATGTGCTAAATAAATCTTTCTACTTTCTACTACTACTACTACACTGTTACAATATATTGTGTACCGAACTCGCACTGCGCTGGGGTGCATTTATAAGTCACTTGGTAATGTAATACCGTACACAGTAATAGAATGTAGATTGACAGATGAAATTTTACTCACTGTGAAATTTTATGTTTAGAATGCATAAATCATCACAGAGACATGTTACACTTGATGACAACAGACTAATTTCTAACCACGTTTTCTGCGACCATTGCAAATATAACAGAAGCTATGAATATGAGGTAGCCCATTTATCATGAAAAATATATATTCTCCCAATTTTGAACTCTTTTTGATAACCAAATGAGGTAAGTCAAATCACATCACTCTTATTCCGAAGGTTTTAAGCACAGTAAGAAAATCCCACTTTTGATGTACCAGAAGGATTACTTTGTTCTATTTCCGAAAGCATGTAACAGGTACGTCAAACAATTCCAAACGTTAAAATTATTTTAGAGTAGTACAATGTACATACACTCCGTAAAAATTTATGAACTCAGTCCTGCAATAGGGTATGGACTGCCCAATTTGGAGACCCTATATCTCTGAAATTACTTGTTAAAAAATTTCGGGTTATGGACCTTTTTGATCTACGTGTGGAAATCTACAACATACGAAATGTTTATAAAAAATAGCTGAAAGCTTTTCTATAAGTTTGGGTGGAATCTTTTGTTGGAATGAGAACAATCTACAACATGTTCCTGAACAAGCACCGGAGATAAAAATTCCTTAAGTGACTGGGACGCGTGACATCTGCCGCAACTTACGCCACGGACATTTCAATTTGTATAGGAAAAATTTTGCAGTTATTGAGGTAAATATGCCTGCAACTTGTTTGGAAACGTAGCTTAAGTAGCATGGACGTATCCAGCTAAACAAGGAATGGAGAGCAGCTACCAAAATTTTCGCTAGAAATTTTCACAAAGGATATTTCCTTTACTATTGTTGATAATTTCCTTTATCATTCATATACAGTTTCCTTTACAGCGGTATTATGAACGCCAACCAAAAAACTTTTAAATATATTACGAATTTTACTTTGTGGCACACTTTATATTGTACACTTGGGTCAAAAATACGTAATTTCAGAGATATTTGAATTTTCCAAAATTTTGGGAATAGCGTATGTCCAAAAATCCATTAATTTCTTACTTCCATGTCAATGGGAGGAGGTAGTATTATAATCGCGAAATACCTTATGATCACTTTAGGTATGACTTATATTTCATTTATCACTAATAGTCCGGGGTGTAGAGCTAGATCGCGTCTGTGGTTAAGCTACACGTGCACCCTGGATAACATTAAATGAACTAGCAATACCGGTGAGCCAGACTGGTAAGATTTTACCCTCCTAACAGTACGTCTTACTTACTGATTACCTGGTCAATTTAAAAGAAAATGGCGCTTCTCAACGCCGACCGACGAGACAAATAGGGCCTTCCTCAAAAACATGTAAATTGAATATAGACGGTGTCAGCAGGGCTAAAGGAAAAGTTCTATCTAAAATACGAATTTATAACGAGGTTGACGTCATAGCCACTCAAGAGAATCTTACCGCATAAGAAGATTCACTGCTCAAAAGAGGAAAGATTCCTGGAGATCGACTTGCTGGAGCCACATACAGTGCTACCCTATGGCGCAGCAACCTATATGAGGAATCAAATTCAGAATTGTAAAGTAATTATGTAGCTGTATCTCTTACGCTCTCTTACTTAAGGGCAGTTGCTGTAAAAAGTAAATTAAGTTATTGTAAACATCTACAAATCACCTACAACGCAGTAGCCTGCAGATACTATAGAAGTCCAATCAGGAAGTCCAGTCATTTACATTGCGACTTCAGCAGTCACCATAACCTTTAAGGGAATGCGCAAAAAAAGGATACCAGATAGCAGCCTCCAGTCATGGTTACAGTTGCACGGGAGGAGACGACACTTTGTGGAGTTACACCTTTCATCATTCACGAGCTTTTGGCAGCTGCGGATAGACTGAGGTCCAACAAGGCACCAGCGCCTGACAACATACCATCGGAGATAGTGAAACTCGTGACAAGGCAATTCCCAGAAACTAAGCTGAAGGTGATGAACAATGCGATCACAGCAACTTCCCCGCAATTTGGAAACGTGCGGAACTGATCCTGTTACCGAAGAGGCATAAACCTCTAATGGTAGCAGCGGATTTCCGTCCGATTTCAGTAGTAGCTGGAAAGCTACTAGAATATATGATCCTACAACGCCTACTAGAAGAAGTAAATGAGACAATATCGGCAAGACAGTATGGTTTCAGAGGGGGTAAATCAACCCTTGATGCTATCAACCACGTGATAAGCATGGCAAAGAGCGCGGAAGTAGTGATCAACTACAAATTACAATTATGCGCGATGATCACAATAGACATAAGAAATGCTTTTAACACTGCCACACGTCAAGGGAATGTCGATGCGCTGGTGAGCAGAAGAGTTAGTGGAGATACCATCCGGCTGATTGTCGATTACTTGCGGAATCGAAATGTTATGCTTCGTGATAGGGACAATGGTATGGCTGAGAAACCAGTATACAGCGGCGTTCAGCATTGATCAATTTTGGGACCTACCCTATGCTGTGGCTACTTTTGTACGTACCGTCCTCGACAACAAAAAGCAGCAAGACATCGCACGCTGAGCACCGCAGAGAGCCTGAACTCCTAATCCCCAAGCATATGGGGGGGGGATGTAGGGCAAGAAGATCGAAGAATGAACTGAACAAAGAAGAAAAGACAGCCCCCCAGGCGGTTCATAGGACCCACTCGCTTCGGGTTGCGGCCTGGCGACGGTCCCGAAAAAAAAAATACGCGCAAAATGGCGAAAACGGAGAAAAATTTGTAGATTACTAATAATATCTAGTCTTCAATGCTAAAGGTAAGCGGAGGTTTTTCTCTAGGCGATGGCGCAGTGGCTACAATCCGGACCTTTGTTTCATATATTAATCCACAACGTCAACCAATTCCAACCACCCGAACAGTACTCCCAAATTTCCCACACAATCAACATCATCCCATTGTGATCGAAGAAGGAATGCAAATTCCATTGGTTGAATCAAGGGAACTCTGTAATACTATAGTCCTTACATTACATTTGAGTCATTGTATTTTATGTTATATTTCCATATTGTCGCTTGGTTCCTTTAATTTGGTACAAAATTAGGTATTTGGCGTAACTTGAGGGTATATTAACGCTTCAAATGTTCGTGTAACTAGAACGTAGATTTATATTCAATGCGAGGTAAATACTGAGGCAGTTTACTCGATTCGATGTTTTTTAACACGGTTCTATAAGCTTGGCCTGTATGTATGTATGTATGTAACGGAATCTTCGAGCATAATTTTCACCAATTTCCAAAGTTTGATTAATTTGAAACTTCGCACGCGTCTCAAGGACCGATAACAATGCAATAATTTGATAACAGTTTTACATTATCCTTATTAGGACCGCCAGGATTAATTAATTCTTTTATAGATCCTCTGTATGGGTGTAAGAGAGATAGAGCTAGCGCGCGATCTGCGCATGCGGGCAGTTTCGGACTCTTTGTTGGTTCGGGCACTCGGCACAGCACAATGGAGGCAGATACTAAAATTAAGTTATTAACAGAATAATTCAATTCAGATTAACAAGCGTGGGGTGAATTTTACTACATTTTCATAACCCTCCACTTTTAGATAGTTGCCATTAGAATTATTGTAACACTATATATTAAGTTCCCCACGCTTTTTAGTCTGAATTGAATTATTCTGTTAATAACTTAAATTTTATTATAATTTTATTTTGAGGTCATTAATTATGATTGATTTTTCGACCATCTACTACTGTAATATAAACTCTTTGTAATAACTATTTTGTTCCTAGGGTGTCGAAAATTCTATTAATCCCAAGGTTCACATTTCAACAATCTTCTTAACTCCCTTTACTGGTGCCGTTGCAATATCTAGGCTTTGACCTCGCTGTTGATACTTATTTTTGAATGACCTACTCAAGTACTGAAAGTAATTTCGCTTATACTAAATTAAGTGGATCCATAATAAAATATTATGAGTTATATTCCAGGCAAATTTACTGTAAAGCATCGCCACATCAAACCAAAGCTGAGCGCTAGGTTATCGGATCCTTCACCCGTAAAAGCTCCGTCTTCCTCCGACAGTGAACTGGAAACCGGCAAAAGAGCTTCCGCCAAGATCGACTCTACTGTTAAGGTGGACGCCGAGGTTAAGGCTGTAGCTGATAAGAAGAAAAGTGATACTTTGAGGAAGTTGTTTACTCCCAAAAGGGACTCTGAGGGAGGTGGCAAAGGTGGAAAGGGAGGTGGGAAAGGTGGAAAAGGTAAGAGTATTACGAATCTGCAAAGGTTGACATTACTGATATTTGTAATCCTAGTGTTAATGCGGAGTAGGTTAAATTGTTAGTGAGTTAAACTGATTCGCTCAAATTATTTTTAATATCATACCTAATGCGTTTTTTTCTGTTTTTACTTGCTTGCTTTCAGTTATTGTATGGCTTAGCAAATCAACAAGTAGTTAACGGCAGTCTGAATAACAAAGTAACTATTGTTATTTCTATTCCTCAGGAAAAGGTGGAGTAAACGTGATAATAGTCGATGGCAACTATGAACGCAGTTCCTCATCTGTAGAAGATGAGACTGACCCCAGCAGAGTTCCTTTACCGGTTTCTCCATTGGATCCTCCAAAGAAGAAATGTTTCAGCCTCCCTCCCAGCAGCCCCTGCGAGGTTATTCAAGACACAGATGACATCAAAAACGTGAGGGATATTAAGACTGAAAATGATACAGAAAGCAAACATATGCAGACTAGGTTGAGTATTTGGGTCCGGATACAGTTGGATCGGCTTGATATCTCTCTTATGCCAGATGTGAGGAGGAGGTTAGAGGAGAAGGTGAAAGATGAAAATTTCGGTAAGTATACTGTAATACTATTAGTATTTCATATTTTCTGCTGTCAGATCAAGAATAGAATAAAACGTACATAAAAACCTGACAACAAGTAGCAGCTCATGTAACATCTGAAGCTTATCCTGTGGTCGTGCTGACAAATCTTAGTCTAATCATATTAGACGAAAATACCTCTGATTTGCGAAATAATTGTAAAGTCTGGTTTTATTACTACAAGTTGTTCAAGTGGTATTCATGCAATTATCGCCGCATTACCAAGAAGTGCCAAAACTTGCAATTTGCCTCGTTTTTCGGCCATAACATGTTTGCTATAAGTCGGATCATATTACGTGCAGTCTCAATTTGTAGGTCTCATAAATACCTAAAAATTTTATATCAAAAGTTTTTTCGTTCCTGTCAACACTTTCGATTGAATCCCAAAAAACACGTTTTCTCATTCTTTGTTGTCAAATATGTCAAAAGTTTTCCCACAAAAAATGGTGTACCCATTTTATGCGTCCATGTTTTAAATACCCCCTTGAACAACTTGCATCAATAAAACCAGACTTTACAATTATTTCGAGGAAATTTGCTAATATGATTAGATTATCTCCATATTTTCTGGCTGTTGAATGAAACATGAATGTAGGTTTAACTTTTACTTAGTAGCTGTTCATTTAGTGTCATTCACAATAATTGATACCGTCAAGTGTCAGTCACGTTCCTCGTTTTTTACTTGTTAGCGAAACTTTTAAATGAGAGTAGTTTTGCTTATAGTAATAATTGGAAAAGACTCGGTATACTTTTATACTTTTTTTTAGTCATATCAGTTTATTATAACTGCTATGTTATATACATGTTGTGTTAGCATGATATCCACATATAAAGGATATTTTCCTTTTGTGGCATATGAATTTGTTCACAATTTTTAATTAATGTGAATAAATTATTATTATTATTCTTATTATTTATTATTATTATTATTCTTATTATTTATTATTATTATTATACAACTAGTACGAGCAAATTCATATAACTGCAAATGATTATAATTACATTCCAAGTTATCTAAGAATTAAAAAAGTTTAACCAGTATTTGGTAGCTCTGGATATGCTACTGATTTCAACAGACTCGCTGTTGTCAACAGTTCGCAATTAACACACATTAAACAGCTTACCTAGTCGCTGCCTCCTGATTCCCAACTAACAATTATCACTCCTATTAGAGTTGCAAGAATGATTATACAGTATTCCTTAAACAGCATTGTATACTGTAAGAACATTAGCAAAACCCTCTTAGAACAGCTATACAAGCGGAATGGGCACACCTAATAGGACACTTCAGTCATTTAAGAGGTTGTATAAGGGCTGCAGGTAACAGTTATAAAACAAAAGTGTAAGCCTCTTGCAGCCGCTATAGGACATTTGCGTCAGTGCAAGATTAAGTTTTTGTCAACTATACAACTATTCTCTTACGTGATTCTACTTTATTGCAACCAAACTATTTCCTATGTATTGTATAGACGAAGTCTGAATATATAACTAACACATTACAGTCATCTTGTTTACTTACATATCGGCCATTGTGAATTTCATACACAAGTATATGATAAACTTCTACACTTTGATATAGGGCTATTGAATTACTTGCGCAGCAAATTTTATTGTGATTATCGTGCAAATTAGTTACCCAATTTCTACGGGCTTGTATTTGATTCATATTTTGACAATGATCAAAACTATGTCTAGATTTTTAAGATGGAAAATTGAACTTTTCTGCGTTAAATCTTCCACAAATCCTATATTTAGGCACAATTACACTAAGAAGCTCCCTTTTCATGTAGTGTTTAAAGTGAATCTGTTCTCATTTTTACATGATTTATGCCAACTTTAGATTCACTAACAAGGAGCGAATACAGTATCCCTTTTGCCTTATTTATCCGCTTTGCCGGAAATCCCTAATTAAGAGATTTCTTGTTTCTTTCTAACACATCAATGCTCCATATTGTAAGATTGAGGTAGTCATTTAAATATATACTAAACACTCGAGAAAGTTGTCCGTTAGATAGTGTAGAAATGCAATTACACGCACAACCCCTATCTTGTAAAATTTTTTTTTTTGAAAAACTAGATTTTACGCTGTCTGTTAGTCAAATAAGCACGCGGGTTCTTATACTGATTATTCGAGAAGTTTGAACGAATAAGTCTATATACTGTTTCACGATGGGAAAATTATGATTTTGCTGTCAAACAGGAAATTTGATTTTTCCCAGGATGTTCGCCTTGGATCGGTTTCCCCTATGTACCTCAAAGATATTGAAACCGCGAAATTAAAACATGTGACATGTTAATATTAACATATAATTTCCAATAATAGGCAAAAAACATGATCAATATATTTTTTTTGCTTGAGTTATACCACTATTTCTAATTCCTGCTACAATAATGAGCCAACAAGGCTAACTGATCATTCAGCAACTTAGTTAGACTCTATATTTCTCAAAAGTGCTTTCCTTACTAGCCAAACTGGTATCATCATAAAACCAACCATAACTCCGAAACTGATTACTTATAGAGATTTGAAGAACTTTCTCACTGATTTATTCTACTTCGATTTATTTAACGTCCATTGGTCTGATGTACTGTTTATCAACTATATCGATGATAAAATACGTTTCCTCACTGATAATATTAGAAAACTATTTAATATTCATGCCCCTTATCGAACGATTTGTCTAACAAAGCCTAAATCACCTTGGCTAACAAGTTTTAAGAAACCAATGGAAATCAAACCTGATAAAAGAAAAAAGTCTTATCTAAGTAACTGAAACAACCCAAAACGTTTTGATAAAGCTTTAAAAATCAATGAGGATTCAGACTTCCAGTATAAGGGAGATACCTGGTGGGATAACTGATGTGTAACTTATTAATGATTATTTTGCATCTGTTTTTAACTCAAATGATTTATCATGTGAAGATGAAATTAAGCACTATTCAAATTCAAAACCCACTATTCAAAAAAGTTTTAGTCTTAAGAACTATCAATACACATGGTGTTTTTGATAAAATCTAATGTTTCAGGCGTGGATGGCTTGTCTGTTCAATTGATGAAATTATGCCTCCCAGCCATTTCCTTGGTTCACATTGTAAATTGCTGCATAGAGACAGGATATTTTCCCCAACTGTGGAAAGTGTGACTAATTATGCCACTCCCTACAACCAACAATCCACATAACAAGTTAGTGACTTAAGACCTGTCAGCCTTTTACCAGTTCTTTCCGAAGTATTAGAGAAAATAATCTACAAACAAATTTTAGAGTTCAGTTGTACTAACAATATACTGCCTGAGGAGCAGTTCGTCTTTCGAAAAGGACGTAGCACTGTTTCGGCTCTGTTATAGTTGATGATGTAATCTCCAATTTGGATAACAACCTGGCAACAGTTCTTGTTTCTTATGATTTTAGTAAGGCATTCGAGGCCATAGGCTACTTCAAGCCAAGTGTACTTACTTTGAATTTAAGGAATATTCCTTCAGGGGTACCACAAGAGTCAGTCCTAGGGCCGCTTTTGTACTTGATATATATGTTTGATCGGTCGTCAAAATGAAAAACTCTAGTGTAACTTGTTATGCCGATGAGACTCAATTATACCACCTGATGATTTCAAAATAGATGAGGCTAAAATTAATATTGATCTTGAAAGTATTAATAACTATTCTGCTATTAATAACACGAAACTCAATCCTCAAAAATCAAATGTACTATTTTGCAAGAAAGAAAAACAGACATCATAAGCCAAGCCAGAACCTGAAAATAAGCCGTACAGATTCAAAATTTAATCATGTATGCAAAAGTTTGGGTCTACTCATAGATGAAGACCTGCGTTTTCACACACATGTTAACAGCGTCATCAAAACATACTATTTTAGGCTGAAACTATTATATATAATAATAATAATAAACGTCTTTATTTACAAATGGACTGATTATATAAAAAAATAGCCAAATACGGGCGAAGTTCAGCTGTAGCTGCTCTTCCACTTAACCCGCTATAAAAAAAGTCCGTACACAAGGTGAGTGAGACCTACTTATTCTACACATTACAAATATTAAATGTATATGCATTGCTTACATTAATACATCTACTAAAATTAATCATAAATAGGCAATTCCTCAGCTTTAAAACAAAAGGACGATTATGTGAATCATTATTTCCAAAATTTTATATGGAGTCATAACGTATTCCTTGCTTAGATTAAATGTTTGCCTACAGACTACACAAAATTCAAAATTTTTGTTGCCGCTTGACTAATAAATCTAAGGAAATATGATCATGTAACTGGCCCAGTCGAAGATTTAGGATGGCTCAAAATTAATAACCTGTCCAAATATTTATTTTTGTCATTTATAAAATTTATTATGACCACTCGTTCACCACTACGTTTATGGAATAAGCTAATATTTAGAACAAGCATTCATGGTTTGAATCTAAGGTATATGAGCAGATCGCACAGCCATGTTTCAGCGTTCTTGCTCATATAACGCAGCTAAATATTATAATGCATTAGACATCAATATTAGGGATACAGCAAATATTTTAAACATACAGACATTTCGGAAACAATCTTTGTTGAATATATTTCATGCACACTAACTCAAAATTTTAGAAGCATTTAATACTTTATCAAGTATCAAGTAAAATTCATTATTAGAGTTTATAGTATATACTTAATTCATTTCCAAATATTGATCGAGTAGATTGGCTAATGGCTAGACTTTGCCAAATAAACTGCATCCAGGGATGTAATTTTCTTTATTAACCAAAAGCTATACTAGCTGTTTCAATGCTTCCTAGCAGTTGTTTGAGTATTAGACTTCGGAATAAGTTTTAAAACTCTTTATAATCCTTTGTGGTTGACAAGCTGATGTACAATTAGGGGGCAAAAATAAGATTTTTATATTATTTAAGCGAATGTCTTTTGGATGATATCCCACATTGTCCAAAAATATCAAAATGTTACTTTTTTCTTTAGCCATTTTCCAATCTAGGTCTTGCAAACACTCTGTCATAATTTGGAGCCATTTCTACAATGAATGTGTCGCCCACTGTGTCTTTTCCGCATACCGTCAGACTAATACTGAATGGAAATTCAATCGAAAGCGTGTACCCAAAGAAGAACTGTGAATCCCTGACCAACTCGGGGAAGTCCCTAATTCACGCCGGGCAGAAATGCTGCGTTTGTTCCGAAAGATTAAAGTCGGTGGATCCTCAGCTTACTCGAGAAAGTCCCAACCAAGATGGTGGGCGGCACGATTGATAAATGCAATAGCGATACCGTCAGCAGAAAAAAATATATATACAAGGCGTTTCATTTTATTTTCTTTTTTGTCCGGTTAGGATAACATTTTCTCGTGTCAACGTCCGTTCAAGAGAATGTCCGTCCAAGAGAAAGTTAATACAATGCAATTTATATGATAGTTGGTCGGAACCATGGGAAACAGTGCGTTTAATGGAGGTGACCGTGTAAGAGAGGTATCCGCGCAGTGGAATTCTACTGTATTTAAGTAGAGGATATGCAGGATTGTTCTTGAGGTAGTTTTGTAAAATGGCATGGAAAAATTGGTGGTTTTGATAATAATTATAATTATAAATATAATTATATTTATGATTACTAATTAAAATGTGATAAGTTTAGAGTTTGATAGGAGGAGTGGAAAATCCATTTTGAACAACTTCAAGACCTGGTCTTTAGAAAATGGAGTAAATTATTTTAGGTACAAAAGAAGACGATTTTCCTTAGGGCTTGACACAAGACTTCCCATGTAGAAACACAATTTTACTGGATTACTTCTGTTTCAGAATGCTATGGTGACAACACGTTACTTAAATCTAGGTCCTCCGACTCTCCGCCACAACAGTCACATCTCTCTACCTCCAAACCAGTTGATGATCCTTCTCCGTCACCTTTAGAAGCACTGAGTAAGCAACACAAGTCCAAGAAAAGAAAGAGGAGAGAAAGTGCCTCAAGCGCCTCTTCCCTGTCTACTGTGGCCAGCACCACTAGCAAAAAGGAGGGAAAAGAGGCCAAGGAAGAAAAGGCACGAAATGGCAAGAAAGAGAAAGACAACACAAGGTTAAAAAGGCGGAAAGACTCCAAAGAAGCCACAGATGCTATGGAAGGGAAAGTGGAAAAGGCGGAAGAAGCCCTTGAGCAGAGGCAAATTGACAGGTAACGAATTAAAGAATCAGTTTTTAAGCATACTTAAAAACGACTGAATAATTATAATTTGAGATACGTTCAGTTATGCTAATCCTTCGCCTCGTACTGGGAAAGTACCGGTTGGATTTTGATCGAATTCACACACAGAAAAAAATTTCTTAGCGGTTGAAAGTTGATGGCTGAGGGGTGTAGGTGGTTGTAAATGCTGCATCTTTCGCCTCAGTGCAACACGTTCTATTATTCCGAAATTGTGATTATGCTAGTATTACCTACCTGTTGGCACAGTATCACACCTGCTACCCAGAAACGCGCGATATGGGCCATTCCCAAAAACTGACTAAGAACTCTATAGAAAACGACGTTATTTGATTTGGTTCAAAGTAGTCTCAAATAAAAGGTACAATGTCCTTTAACATACTCGAGATATGAGCCGAGCTATTTTTGTTGTAGTTTTCGGGAAAATTAAGAAAAAATAAAATGTCTCTACGGACATCCATGGATGTGACAGTAATTATGACTTCAGTGAAATGTCCTCGGTTTCTGTAGAATACAACAAATTTTTCATTTTGTTATACTTATTTATATAATGATAAAAAATGTTTCTATAGGAACACAAATTTCAGTGAGGGTTCCTAATCAATTCTTATAATTCAGGTCACTTAACAATATAGCAATAGTTACTTATAATCATCATTTTTACCTTTTATAGTTAATACTCATTACACTTAATTATACTTAATGACATTGACTCTCAGAAAATAACTAACAAACAACAAAACTTGAAGACCTTAAATAATATATATATATATATATATATATATATACAGGGTGTTTCAGTTTATTGTTGCATAACTTCAAGATTCGATAGAACTTTTAAAATTAATGCATAAAGTCTATATAAACATGGGTCGAAAAACGCGTGGCTTCCGAAATACAGGGTGTTTGAATTTACTTTCTAAAATAGTTTTTTTAAATATGTCGAACAATATTTGATGTATAACAGTGAAAATTGGTATACAAGGGCATAGTTTTACTGTAACCGCTAGAGGGTGCTCTCTACTGTACCTGTAGTGTATTAAAAAGACCGAAATTTTTTTCTTAGTGCAATTTTTTACTTTTTGAATAAAAAAACTGATTCTCCGCACTTTTCAACATAAAAAAGCTCTCTTGTGAATTTCCGTTATAGTTAGCCGTTTTGGAGATATTTCGATTTTTAAGGTTCGATGCATTTTTAATTATTTATCATAAAATTACGTTAAAAAGTCAGTATCTCGATAATTTTTAGAAGTAGGCTGTGCCTGCAAATAATTTTGAAATTGAAAGCAGAATAAGGTTAAACGTCAATTAGTTGCCAGTTAGTTTTGTTGTCTGTTGAAACCTGAAACATTTTTTGCAATTGTGAATGCACGAAATTTAGTTTCTTTTACCTGTTTTTTTTGTAAGTTTTATAAAAATGCCATTTTTATTCTCCAACCAAGAGTTAGCGGATATTCATTTTGTGTATGGCTTTGTAAATGGAAACGCAGCAGAAGCAGCCAGAGAATGCGCACGAAGATTTCCAAACAGACGACATCCAATTCGCTCAGTATTTGTAAGAGTGCATCGCCAAATAATTGAAAATGGTTTTGGAAATCTCCAAAGGGATCAAAACATAAATGTTCGTCACCGCAGATTTACCCTTTTGATTCTGCGTGAGTTTGATAGAGATCCGACCACAAGTGTTAGGAGAGTTTCTGGTGCCTTGGGAATTTCCGCAAGCCATGTTCACCGTGTTCTTAGAAATGACCATAGACATCCTTACCATTTGCAACCTGTGCAAGGACTACGGCCAGGGGACGGAGAACGAAGAATCACATTTTGTCAGTGGATTCTTGATAGAACTGATAATAATAGGGAGTTTTTAAGTAACGTTTTATGGACCGATGAGTCATGCTTCACTAGACGTGGAGTGGTAAATTTTCATAATCAACATATTTGGTCGCATGAAAATCCGCATGCAGTTCGGGAAAGAAATTTTCAGCATGAATTTAGTGTGAACGTGTGGATTGGTATCTACCGTAATCGACTATTTGGACCCTACCTTTTTGCCTGCAAGGTTAAATGCTGCGACCTTCTTGGAATTTTTAAATGCTGAACATGCAAACATGTGAGATGATGTTATGTTAGATTTAAGAAGATTGGCCTGGTTCCAGCTTGATGGTTATCCAGAAAGATGTATCGGCCGTGGAGGACCAGTCGCCTGGCCTCCACGATCCCCTGACCTAAATCCTTTAGATTTCTTTCTGTGGGGATTTCAAAAAAGAAAAAGTGTACCAGACTCCCGAACCAGAAGAGATATGCTAATAGGAATGCTTGTGATGAAATAAGACCTTATTTGAATAATGCTATACCACGTTCGATCATTCGTAGATGTGAATTGTGTATTGAACAATTGGGTTTACATTTCGAGCAACCACTTTAGATTTTGTATGTTTGTCCTAACTATCCAATAGCATTTTAGTTGTACATAATTAATTTAATTTGTTAAAATAATATTGAAAAATTAAACAAATTAATATTCTGTTTTTTGTGTTTATTTGGAGTTAGGAATTATTGCTGTGTTTAAAAACACAATCTAAACGATCATCTTAATTACTTGTAATGCCCAAATGGAAATTGTAAAAAAAATATTATTTTCCCATAAATAATTAAAAATGCATCGAACCTTAAAAATCAAATATCTCAAAAGCGGCTAACTATAACGAAAACTCACAAGAGAGCTTTTTTATGTTGAAAAAGTGCAAAGAATCAGTTTTTTTATTCAAAAAGCAAAAAATTGCACTAAGAAAAATTTTTCGGTCATTTTAATACACTACAGGTACAGTAGAGAGCGCCCCTCTAGCGGCTACAGTAAAACTATGCCCATGGTTCGTTTTGTCGTTCCAAAAAACCCTTGTATACCAATTTTCACTGTTATACATCAAATATGTTCGAAATATTAAAAAAAAACTATTTTAGAAAGTAAATTAAACAACCCTGTATTTCGGAAGCCACGCATTTTTCGACCCATGTTTATATAGACTTTATGCATTTAATTTTAAAAGTTCTATCGAATCTTAAGTTAAGCAACACATAAACTGAAACATCTTGTATAATATATATATATACAGGGTGACTTTGAAGTTGAGTCATTAATTCTCAGATAATGATTGTAGAAGGAAGATAAACCAAAATATGTGTGTAAAAATATAAAAAAATAAAAAAAAATCTACCGTGTTTTATAAAGTATCCTCCCGACAAGTATTTCAGTGCGGACCTGTATTTGATCGTGAGGTCTTGGAGCACCGGCATGCCCTCCCCTGTGGGGTCTTAAGTCACCTGATTCACGAGCCCGTTATACTACATTAACAAAGGCACGAGGGGTTGGTTCCACTCGATTGGGAAACCGATCCGCATAAACATGTGCCATTTTTTATTTCGTTTGAGCCACGCAGCAAACACCACTATTCACTCACTCGCGCTACCGACTGACAAATTGACTGAATAAAAACATCGTGATCAGCGTTTCAAATTCTTTCGCTTTTTTGTTTCCGATGCGATGAACCGATAAGGCGTTGTTGCCAAACACGAGCACATAATATTATTATTGAGACAGGGCGGTACTCAAACTTCTCAAGGGCTATAACTTGGTTACGTTAATTTTACCACAAAAATGTTAAAGGAAAAAACATTTCTTTTGATCAGATCTACTCACTGTTTAAATAAATGACTCAACTTCGAAGTCACCCTGTATATATATATATATATATATATATTCTGGTAAAATTAAAGTAACAAAGTTATAGCCCTTTAGAAGTTTGAGTACCGCCCTGTCTCAATAATAATATTATGTGCTCGTGTTTGGCAACAACGGATATAATCCGCCTTATCCGTTCATCGCATCGGAAACAAAAAAGCGAAAGAATTTGAAACGATGTTTTTACTACAATTTACAATTTTATTCAGTTGTATTTAGTCGATGTGTCAGTCGGTAACGCGTGAGTGAATAGTGGTGTTTTGTTGCGTGGCTCAAACGAAATAAAAAATTGCACATGTTTACGAAAATGCTGAATGTTGTACAAAGG